CTAGGCACAGGTTGTACAACGAGAATCATCTCGGACGTTTTTGCGGACCTATTAGTTGACACCGCTTGCACGTTATTGGCTGAAAGTATCCAATCGCTTTCGAGTAGCGATGAATAGAGTTTGCGAGACTCTGTGCATTAAACTAACCGATACAGTTAACGCGGGGATTTCCCAGCATGTTTGGAATTATTCTATACCGATTTTGTTTTGCACAGCCTGCAATGTAGGCCTTGGACCTAGGAATTATTCTACACAAGATTGTTTTGCACAGCTTGCGTTATAGGCTTAGGGCCTAGGAATTATTCTATACAGATGTTGTTTGCGCCGAAAAAAAAATGTGTCACAGGCCTTGAGCCTAGGAATCGTTCTATACGGAATTTATTGCACAACTCTTGTTTTTTGGCTTTGGGCGTAGGAATTGGTATAGACGGAATTTATTGCACAGCTTTTGTTGTAGGCCTTGGACCAAGGATTTATTCTATACCTATTTGTTTGCACAGAAAGGTCTTTGGCCTATGATTCATTCTATTTGTTTGCACTGAAAAGAAATACAGTCATGTGTTACAGACCTTAGACATAGAACATATCATCTCTAAACCTGGCATTGCAAGTATACCAGACGAATTTGGATTTTATCGAATTAACGGTAAGTAAAAACAAATTTCGTGTCTTTTTACATCAACAATAGTAAGGCTGCAATACCGATTTAAGATCATAGGCCTAGTAAATATTTTTTTTAACATCGACAGATATCCTAGTCAATGGTCGGCCATATTTCGGTACACATAAATTAGATTAATATTTTTTTCAGTATTATTATTTCATGGAACAATATACATTAACTCTGCTTTGGAATAAACGTAACCTTTATTCACTTTCGTTACCACTACCGACAATAAGCTCAGCCAAATTTCATTAACTATGTTTCTTCATCAACAATAGTAGGGTTTGCAATACCGAATAAAAAATAATCTATGAGTATTTATTATTTTTTTAACATCGACAGATATCCTAGCCTTTGGTCGACCATATTTAATTACACATAAATTATATTAATGTTTTTTATTATTATTTATTAGTCCATGGAAATATATACATTGACTCTGCTTTGGAATAAACGTAATGCTAAATATTTTTCGTTAAGACCACCAACAGTAAGGTCAGCCACCTTTAATTAAAAACACATTGCATTAGTTTTAACTTGTTTGACATCAAAAAAGGTTATTTTATTTATTTATTTTTTTAATTCTTATCTTTTTTTTTAGATTCAACGTTGCCTTCACGAAAGAAATGATGCTCGGTCACGTACAACCGTCGCATCCGATCATCAAGTCCTTCGTTTTCTTCGATCTGGAAACGTCGGCTCTGCACGCCGAAGTCAGACCCAGGGTCACCGAACTGTGCCTGATCGCCGTACACATGTCCAGCGTTGAGAGCTCGGGCACCGCGCCGAGGGTGATGGACAAGCTGACGCTGTGCGTGTATCCCAACAAGGAAATCTCCCGATCGCTTCGAATCTGACTGGTCTCCACAATGCTCTTATGCTGGATAACGACAAGCGACCTTTCGACGTCCAAGTTTGCGAGTCGATATGCGCCTTCCTCGGCAGACAGGCAAAACCAGTGTGTATGGTCGCTCACAACGGATACGAATTCGACTTCAAGCTGCTTCGAACGGAATTCGACCGTCTCGGACGTTCTCTACCTTCCGACCTGCCGTGTTGCGATTCCCTGTTGGCTATTCGTGAACTTGAGGGTGCAGATTGGCAAGCGTGGAAGAGGCCCAGGAGGTCTTACGCCCTGCAGAAGATGTTCGTCCGGACTTTCGGAGTGAAACCCAGAAACGTTCACGGTGCTGAATCGGACGTGATCACTTTACTCAAACTTGTGCTCAACCGAGGAAACGCAGTGTACCGGTGGATGGATGAGCACGCAACGAGGTGGACAGACGTTCAGCAATATTACGTCCCGAAAAAGATCGAGGATAAGGTAAAATGATTTTTTTTGCTCTCTCTTTGTTTATGTTTTTCTTTTATGTATATAATTATTGAATTTAGCAAATTTGTTTTTTCTTTGTTTTTATTTTACTTGATTTTTTTTCGGTTGACTCATGAAATGATTGAACAACATAGACAACGTAATTCAAACATTACTGCGGTGGCGCAGCATTTATTCGTTAAATCCGTAGAAATTAATCAAACATTGTATTTTTTTTTCTTGCAGATACATGTCGAACCATCTTCGAACAGTCCGATAGTGTAGTGAAGAGCAGACGTTCGATATCTTCGCATCCAGCCTTATTCGCTAGAACACTCAAAAATTGTCGGCGAACGGAAATCTATAGATTTCTATTCGCCATTGCATGTTTTCTGAAAAGCTTTATTTAACAATGCAAAAGCATTCTTTATCCAAATTATCTCCTTTTTTTGTTCTTCTTCTGTTTCTTTTATCATAGGCAGCTGGTAAAAATAACTGGTCTTCGGGGTCGCGGTGAACGACGCACCTGACGTCGCCGCATTTACCTGGGATAGCCGTTATCGATCTATTGTAAAAGCATCCTGATTTTAGATATCCTTTTGTCTTCGACCGCCGGAAAGTGATCTTTTTCACAGGTCTGCCCTCTCTTCCCTACGTTTGTACGTGTTGCCTCCCTTGCCTCATCATATCTTGCATCAACCTGTCTCTTATACACATCTAGATGTGTATAAGAGACCAACGACACTCTCTATCTTTATCGCTTTGCCATTTCGTCTCAAAATAAAGAGACTATCGAAAACAAAATATTTCTTTGTAATTTATTTTTTTTATTGGTATATCATATGCAATCGTAATTCAACAACTCTTCGTTCCAGTACTTGAGATACGCCCTTGTCCTGCACTTTGCTGTTTGCAGCAAATCTCTTTTTGCAGTACATTCTGTGAAGACTGTCGTTTTTTCACCTGTCACAATCCACTGTTTTTTTTTAAATACAGCGGTATAATACTCTTGGACTCTATCTTCTGTAGAGTTTCATTTGTCGTCGAGCGTCGGTCTTTCCCAGTCTGTATTCTTTTCTCCACGTTCGAAACCAAAGTCGGAATTCGAACGAGTTGCCTCCCTTTGAACAAAATTTCGTCGTTCCGGTTTGCGATCTCTTCTGTTGGACGATTGCTGTAGTCTTTTGTTCCCCCCCCCAACGTCAAGTCCATCGTCTTTAAGATAACGGTATATACTGTTGTTCTATTTCGCATGCAGCAAGTCGATCGTTGTTTTTGTGCTTTCTTCCATAACTTTCTTGTCCTAATCTTTTTTCTCTTTGCCTTTTTTTGTCGATAACCTTTCGACTCCTCTGTTCAGTTTATTCACATAAAGTTGTGCTTTTGTTCTCTCCGCAATCTCAGGCAAAAGTCGGAATTTGAATCGGAACACGTGCAGATCGCACCATTCGTTTGTCATGCGTATCGAACGAGCCACTCCGTCCGCTTTCCTTACATGGGCTCGCCCTTTTACATTCTGTGTAGTCCGTTGGTTTTTCACACGTCACGATCCACGGGTTTTTTTTATACAACGGTATATACACTTGGGACTTTTTATTCGCCGTTCCATGTTTTCTGGAAAGCTTTCTTAATAATGAAAATGCATATTTTCTCCAAATCATCTAATTGTTTTGTGCTTCTTCTCTTTCTTTCCCCCATCGCAACTTGTAAAATTGAAGGGTCGTCGGTGTCGTGGTGAACCTGACGTCGTCGTTCCGGTTGCGATGATCTCTTCACGTGCAGCAAGTCGATAATTGTTGTTGTGCCTTCTTCCATAACTTTCTTATCCAGATCTTTTTCTTTGGTCTGGTCTTCTTTCCCTTTTTGCGACTCCCCTGTCAGTTTATTTACATAAAGTTGCGCCTTGTTTCTACCGCAATCTCCGTTGTCGAGTTCCTTGGAAAGTGTGGCGACGTTAGTTCCCGTGCGAGCATAATACCGGTTTCTTTCCACGATATTCCTTATATCCTTCCCTGGTAAGTGTGGCAACGTCAGGTTCAATGTCAGGTTTCCCCTCGAACTTCGAAATTCTAAGAACGGTAGTATGTTGCCTCTTTGTCAGCAATCGGTACCTCGACTAATTTGTCTCTTACCAATCAACGTGTTTGCACAGTAAGTTTGGAACTGTCAAAACAGGAACGTTACTTCTTCCATTTCCTCGTCAATCAATCATCGCCGGTGTTCATCCACGAACGGCGGTATCTCGAACCTTGTAGGTTCTTCTTTTTATCTTGGCAACCTTTTCCTGCCAAGGTTCTCGTCGGTCGTTGTTTCCAGCATGTCTTCCTTTACTTTAATAATCTCTTTGTTAGAGCGCTTCTTCCGATTTCCCGAATTGTTTCGTTGCTTTCTTTTTTGGTCTCTTCTCAGAAGTGTTGCTTCGAAGAGTCCGTAGGTCTCTCCATCCTGTGCAGTCTCGTTGTACTCCAACGTTCTAAGACGGTTATTATTCTTTACTTACTCCATCTTTTATTTTAAAATAAAATATGCTATGTTGCATTCCTTTGTATTTTGGCACATTTCTTTTTATATTGTGTTGGTACCGAGAACTTCGGGATTCCCATTACACGGACCGTTTCTTCTTTGGCACTTTTTTTTTTGTTAACCTTGTGCCGGTACACTTCTTCCTCCGGAGGGGTTTCTTTCCCATTCGTCATCACGGCCATCGTAAGTTGGCTCGTTTGCAGCATTCTCTTCTTTTTCTTAACATTTAGGAAATCCTCATTGCCCCACTTTACTTTGTCGGCATTGTCCCGAATGAAAGAAAATCATCCCCTCGCTGCCACGACTTTTCGAATTCTGCTTATAGCATCTCATAATCGAAAGCGTGCGACGTACGGTTTCTCTTTTTCATCTTGCATTTTAAAAAAAAATGCTGTCTTGATGAATTCTTATTCTTGCTTGTTATCATTGCCGAACATTCGGCGATTTTGCATAGACTAACGAGAGAACGTCAGTTTCATTTCTTCATCCTGCATTCTTTCTAGCACACGCACTCGTTCCTTTAAACGATTACGTGAAACAAAAACACTAAATAATTTGTTTGTTTTTGAACATTTTTTTATTTGGAAAATTTATCTTAGCCGAAAGAATATTTCGGCATTTAATTCCAAATGCTCCTCCCTTCTTTTCCAACGACGATAGACTTTTCGGCGCTACGAACTCGACCGTTTCCAATCTCTTAAAATTAAAAATAATATATATTTACATCTAAATAATATCTTTAAAGTTAACTAATCGTAAGTTACTTGGTTTATTTGTAGTAATAGGCTAATCACAAATATATATTATTACATAGGAAACTATTAAGCATTGAGACTTAATATCATCGTGTATTGTTATAATTAAGTTAACAATTATTTAAAAAATCATGATGGAAATATGCATTAAAACATAAAAAAAGAAACATGGTGTCCTATTACATTCTTTGCTCGTAATTGTAACAAATGACGTAGTGATGAAGATGATGGACTGATGATGATTCAGCAGCGATAAGTTAAGATGTTGCATGGATGAACGTGTCAACTCATCGAGATTCAAGACACATCAACTAAGATAGATTTTATTAGTCTCCCAAACATGTATTCTAACCATCAATCGATCAAAGACGCACTCAAAATTTACAACTGTTCCGTTTTAACGTTATATCGGTCCGTGAAACAACACGGTACGTCATCGTTGTCCCCGTCTCAAATGAGCGAACTTAATCATCTTCATCGTCACCTTCATCAACACCTTCAATCTAGATGTGTATAAGAGATCATCATTATACTCCGACTTTAAATATTGAAGTCCGACACATAATTATCGTTATTTTCTATTATTTATTAAAAACTTTCATTCGTCATATTTATATCAATTCGAATAACGGTTTATTTAGTAAGAGATTTTGCTCCAAAACTGGCAATGTTTGGAAACTTGAGTGCAGCAACGTAGTGCTCAGAAGTTCGACGTGTTTCCTATCCCGTTTTTACAATAAGTTTTCGGACGGTATTCGTACGTACTTGGGCAATCTGTATGGAAGAAGAAGAATAAAACGGAAAATTATTTAATATTATTTAATTAAAAATTCTTGTAACGAAAATCGTTATAAATTCCTTTGTGGTATCGTACTTACATTTGAAGATCTAAACCCTTTTCATCGCAATCATCTTCGTGACGATCCAAGTACTTCGGTTGCATTTCCGTCTTCCAAAATCGGCATCTGACTAAGGCAGGACCGTTGTAGTTTCTTCTGCATTTAATCAAATGTTGAATATACTTCGTCCTTTTTACTGTGTGGCTAACGTCGTAAGGACAAGTCAAGTGAGTAGGATCCATCGTTGCTTTGTTGCTGTTGCTTCCTGTCTTGTCTTGATCGCCTGACTGTTTTGCTGCTGCCTCAGAGCGATTGATTGTTGCTTCAGATAGATTCCGACATTCGTACGGTTTGAGGTACACTTCGCGACGACCTCTTTTATATGCTTCGATCGAGAGACCATAACGTCATCGGTCTCAGAAATCCTTAACGTCATCTAATTTATAATATTCACGTGTGCGATCGGGTCCCTCATGACGTCATGACTCGTTGGCCTCCCACCTTCGTTCGAAACCGATGACGTGATGGTCGGTTTCGCAGACAGATGACGTAACGACTCAAAAGGATATATATATATATTCTCGCACAATTTCATCATTATGTTTTCGGATGTCACGAGTATCCGATCGAGACAACAGAGATGGCTTCAATTCTTGCAATAACGGTGGATGGTGTGCCGATGCATGTAGACATTCGAGATGAATCTGGTCTGGAACTGTCTCTGGACAAGGAATCGATCGAGAAATTTCAGATATACGCCGACTTCGTTCTTCATCGTGCCGACGAACTGACAGCAACCTTATCTAAATGCAGACGTAAGTTGGAAGATAACAACATGATGAATACACGAGGACGTAAGTCGCATAAGGCGTGTCTTGCAGATCGTGTCGAACGGGTGACCGGTGAAGTAAAGGATATGTGTTTGCAAGCTGCTCGCGTCGACATACGTTTGCGAAAATGTAAACATTTCCAGACGAAGGAAGGAGCGGAAGGGGAAAGTGTGATGAAATCGATCAGGTTGATGGAATTCCGAAAAGGTATGTCGAACGTGAACGAGTGGCGTGAACAATATATGAAAGTGAGCGAAGCTATGGACGAGATTCTCTGCATACCTAGGGAGGAATTGTCCGAGGAGAACACCTGTTGCATATGCTGCGAGGCTCCCGTATCCATACTGACGAAACCGTGCAATCACATGATGTCGTGCGAGACTTGTGCGCACCTCACCACGAAGTGCTACGTGTGTAGGGCAAGGATCGAGCAGCGACTGAGGAGATGCGAAGTTAAGGAGGGGACGAAAGTTTTCAAATGTTGAACCACTTGTGTGTTAATTTTCTGATTTGAGAATTAAAATAAAAAACTAAGAAAATTGAAATCACGCCTAAATGTGTTTATATTTTTTGGACTTTCATTTAAAAGAATTCTAGAATCTCCAGGACACATAATGCTGTAACTGCCGACCGAATACAACGAGAGTACCTATTTTGTAGAGTTTAGCTCGGTATCGATAACGTCATCGTTACAGATCT